CTCATTTCACCCGATTCCGCCGTCGCCGGACCCATCCGGCTACGTAACCACTCAGGAATGTGCTCATTGATCCTGACACCTAAACTTCGGTTAGTGCGCCCGATATAGCTGTGTTCGCAGCTACAGGCGAACTTGTATGAGCAATGGGACATGCACTGCCTCGTTTTCGGTGTTTGAGGGAACACATAAGCAGTGGTCATGTTGACTTGAGCAACCGTTGTTCAGTTGTATTGTAAACCCTTTTCACTGAAGCTCTAACGCGCTTCGCGGTGATTTTTATGATATCATCACCTTTGAATGGCACTTTGATGAAGATCTGTTACTTTTGAACTGATGGAACACAATCTCGTTTGGGCATGTCGCTAATGCCTTTTATAGACTGCATCCGATACCCGTTTGGCTGTAGTGTCCCGAACAGAAAATCTTTCTCTGCTTCTGATGAGTCCGGGGTACAAATCATGTGAGTTCGATGAAACAGCGTTCCGAAGAGCGCTGCGAACCAGGCCCCTGAAGCGGCACTGATGATGTTGCCTAGTCAGGCAACGAAACGTCTGCACAATAATCACTCAGCTCGGAGAACAGCTCAAAACCCGCATCCACACTCAGAGCTACGGATATTCTCATTTATTTCTTGCTCGCTGGCCTGTTACTGTGTTTTACAAACCAGGCAGTTTTTATTCAATAATGAACTCAACTACGGTTAGTCGCGATCTCAGGAATACTCACGAAATCTGCGTGCATTGTTTTGATTTCTTCAAAACATTCCTTCGCCGACATCAATCCGTTCATGCTTGGACTCTGTGGTCAAGCTCCTGAGTTGGAGCTGCTGCACTGTGCGTCAAACTGTTTAGTCGAAAGTCAGAGTTGAGCAGTCTCGAACAAGGCCCTTCTCTGAATAGGCGACTCCGGAGTATCATCCGCCTTCGAAAGACTATTGCCAGTGCTCTTGTCCTTTGTTTTCGTGGTTGTTTCCCAATTTTATTAGCATGAAGCCACCATTTCCCTGTCAATCAATACTAGTAGTGTATCTGAATCGTCGTGCATGTCAGGAGACTTATTTTACTTCGGTTTCTCCATGCCTCTATGTCAGATCAGTCGTTAGAATCCGACTCTCACTCAGTTTGCTGTGTTTCCGAGGAACATCTACTAGGCTGCAGCGTTGTGACAAGCATCCGACTGTCTACTTCAATATCTGTTGACCATGGGTATATTCACACATATGAACACAACAAATCGACTGTTCAAGGTGTTGTTCTCCATAGAAATGATGAGAGCAACCCGCTCGGGTGGACCTTAGCAATAACCGCATATGTTCACTTTTAATTCGATATTAAATGGGTTATGAGGCACTTCTAAAAACTGCTTTCCATTCTCAAGTCTCTGTCGTGATTCTTGAAGCCGTGCGAGTGTATGGGAAACTGTTTCCTGCGTTCTTCATGACAGGTGGACTTCGCCTATATCCTGTTTCCTCTTCATCTTTGTGATCGAAGTGACTCGACTCTCAAATTCTATCCGAGTGGTAGTTCTGCCACGTGACCGACTGACAAACCTTGAGTATGCGGACGACATGGCTGTCCTTGGGTCTGGCTCAGTGACTATGCAAATACCACTGGACAGGCAGGTGCATAGCACTGCACGTTTCGGTATGTGCTCTGCATCTTCAACATGCGAAGCACTGTTGCATGAGTGAACCGGAACACCACTGGTTTCGACTACCACTGAACAGCCACTGGAAGTGACGGATCGCTTTGCCCACCTTGGTAGCTGTCACCTCTGGTGGTCACCTCACTGAGGAAGTTATTTCGCGTGTCAGCAAGGTTCGTGTGGATTTCCATGGAGACTCAGCTATTTACGGAGGCGGCCCGATATCATTCAAACGTATGGTGAGCAATGCTGCGCCCAAGCCTGTGCTACTGCTTGAACCAGTAACGTGCCCACTTCTTGCTGAGGATATTAAAAGACTGGTCGTCATTGGTCGCTGGGGCCTACTGAGTATTACACATACCCAGTCGAAAAACCGAGTGGTTAATACTGTCACCTCTCCTTCTGTGCTGCCTCACTGGAGACTATTCTAAATTTGAACCGTCTTCTATTGACCATCTAAGTATGCCTATTTTCGTGGGACTCCGATGTGGCTAACTTATAACCTGGTAAGGATGTGTGGGGAAGTTAACTGAAGGACTTTGTCATACTAGTATTTGCTGTCTTTCTGGTTGGTGTAGGTTTCAGTATCGACCCCCTCAGTCGTTTTCGTGCCTCTGTCCCGGATTCCGTCCCATCTGCACTATTTACGTATGGAGGTGAGAATCTCTGCAAAACCCTGACCTCCCTATTCGAACATATCTGGAAGGAAGAATGTCCCGGCTAATCGGAGTGAATCGGTTATAGTGGCAATATACAAGTGAGGCAGTCGCACAGACTGTGCTGACCACATGAGTATTAGCTTAATGTCAGTTGTGACAAAATTGAGGACCTCGATTCTCGTTCGTCGCCTCACTGTGGGACGGGAGTCTCGGGTTATGGAAGAGCAGGCAGGTTTCTGCCCAGGACACGCTGTATAGAACATATATTCACTCTGCGGCAGGTGCTAGTGCAGCGCCACGCATACCGCAGACCGACAATAGCTGTGTTCCTCGATTTCAAGTGTGCGTTCCATTCAGTTGATCGATTCATTCTGTTCGAAATATTTGCTCGGAAAGGTGTTCCCACGAAATTTGTGAACATCCTTCATGCTCTATACTCAAGCACTACAGGCCGCGTCAGAGTCTACGGTGACCTGTCGGATAGCTTTCCGACCACAAGTGGTGTTCGTCAGGGTTGTCCGATTTCCTCGTTTTTGTTCAATTTCTTCGTGGATTCTATCATGGAGTGTTCCCTTGCGGAATCTCACGATGTAGGTGTTGAAGTGCTGCCTGGTGAACGGTTAGCTGATCTAGATTCTGCGGACGATATCGTCTTTCTTTACGACAATGTTGAAGCGGCACAATCAAGCCTGAATAGCCTATCCAGAGTGGTCCCATTATTTGGTATGCACTTCGCACCTTCAAAGTGCAAAGTGTTGCTACAGGACCACCAGCCACTTGATGACCCCTTGACGCTTGCCAACGAGGAACTCGAGGTTGTTGATCATTTCACTTATCTTGGCAGCTGCATCAGCAATGATGGGCGCATAGAAACTGACGTGAGCTCACGCAATGCAAAGGCCAGGGCTGCCTTCTTGAACCTGCGTCATCTTTGGCGACAGAAGGGAGTCTCTCTTCGTCTGAAAGGTTGTGTATACAAGGCCACAGTGAGGGCCGTTCTGCTCTATGGTAGTGAAACTTGGCCCCTTCGTTCTGAAGAGCTGAGGCGCCTTCAAGTCTTTGATCATCGTTGTTTGCGAAGCATAGCTGGTGTCGGATGGCACCAGCGTATCCGCAACGATGATGTGCGTAGGCGAGTACTAGGTAATGATAATCATGCTAGCACCCTAGAACAACAGATAGCACTGAATAAGTTGCGTTGGCTCGGGCACGTGCTACGCATGTCTGGTCACCGCTTACCTAGGAGGGCCTCGTTCAGTCTACCAGGTGTAGGATGGCCCAAGGCTGGAGGTGCACAGAAGTTGACTTGGCAGCGGGAAATGAAGTCACTGACGACCAAACTGGGTGCCGTTGGTCCGTCTCGCCTTCCGGGTTGGAGTCCACGTGACTCACCTTCTGCTTTGCTCGAGACTTACAGGACATGGCTCGCAACCGACACCAGTGGCGTGTCTGCTGCCGTCTCCTAATCGGATTGCCTGTTTAAAGTTTGTTTAGTGCGGTGTTATCTGCGGGGTAATGGCTGATTGTGATGCGGGGCAGTGAAAGCCACAAAGAAGCTGTCTCGCCGATACCGCCCTATCTTTGCATGATAGCCAGCTGTTTGTGACGATATTTTGGCTTCACAATGTGTAGGCGCTTTGACCCTGAATGTTTGCTTAGGGTATTAAGCTTTTCAGGTAAGTGCCCTTCTCTCCGTCTTATTATTCTTCGTTCCTTAGGTCATCATGGTTGCATGGTAGCGAAGCATCAGTTCGAATGGCTTTTGTACTGCTGTTGTTGATTGATTGATTGTTTGCCCATTGGCAAAGTTCGGTCACGAGATCAGTGACGCTGTCACATTCGTTCTCCTATGCCAGAATGTCTGTTTTATTTACGTTCGCTTCCTAGCTCTCTTATCTATGTTTATTGCTTTACTCATGGCGGAATAGCCCTTGGTAAATGGATTCACTTGTCTTTGATCAATGAGTCATAACCGAACTGCTTGCGTGAGGCCGTCAGGACATCACCAGCGACTCAGTTTTGTCTGAGCGTCTTCTGATTCAGTTCGACTAGATCCGGCTAGCTTAACGGTTCGTTAGGGTACCGAATAATACGGACGAGCAAAGCTCTCTAACAAATTACTGCGTCATGGGTTTGTTTTTTATTCTATGCACATTTTTCTTCTGAGAGCGTTGTCCACTGATATGCACCCCTACTTCAGATTGTTGCTTTCCTCTGACTATGCCAGGTCCCTCATGTGTTGGTTTGATTTCCATCGTTTGTTTGATTAAGTGCCTTACTTTTTTCGACTATTTTTTCGTAACAGTTGTTACTATCTATCTGAACGCTCGGCGGCTTTGTCATTTATCGTCCCTATTCCTCATTGCGTTTTGGTTATGTTGCGCATTCCAAGTTTTTTCTCAACACTAAGGAGTCTGCGTACTTACACGATGTTTTGATTGTCGTATACTGCCCCCTGTTCACTTGAATTTCACCATCGCATCGTGGTAGTCAGTTTCGAGTAATGTCTGTAATATCCTAACCATGTTCTGCTAAGTTTCTAGAAGCTTCTCTCTCTTGTATCAAGTAACTGGCCCACTGTCGGTTCCATCAGTTTGCGTCGCACAGCAGTGCAAGAGGCTATAACTGTTCTGTTGATTTCGTTTTGGCTTGCTAATCTGACTAGCATTTTTTATCTGCAATTTCATCCTATTACAGCGGAGGTCCTCGGACTCTACGTCCACTGCCCGGCATGTCCGGCAGACCGGGTGATGATGCCTCTACGGAGGACAATCAGTCACTGCACGAGACTGACTCAGTTGGAAGCGGGGACAACTCCACACTCGGGAGGCAGAATAATCACACATCTTAGCGACGAGACGAGATGGTCCGAAGATGAAGTCTCAGGCCCTACTACTTTCTCCCAGCGCCCGCAATTGTTCTCCTAACATCCACCACGCAAACGTCGCCTACGTGTATCCTGTCCATTCCATCGCTTTGGTCGAATTTTCTGTATACCAAAGTGTTGCTCCTCCTGTTTTTTTCGTTTTTTTAACAACCCCTGTTTTTTTCTTTTTTATCGATTCTAGCTTTGAGCCTCCGGCTTGTGCCATACCCCTTCCCTGTTTTGCTATTTGGTATATATTGCCTTCGTCATAAGTTTCGCTCGTATTTGATTTTATCAGCTGAAAACCCACCTTATGCCAAAACACCACATCGCTGCACACTCTTGTGACTAGCCATATTCTCGGCGGGTTACCTGCTTCCCTCCCTTTCCCAAGTGCCTTTTATGATGTTTACAGTTCACTTCATTGGAATAAACCACGCAACCAAGCAGCGGTCTTTTCTTTGATCACATCCACTTTTATGGGTTTACTGCTTTTTAGCGTAATCTCTATCACCTCACTCCTGCATTTTTCTCACATGTGGCCTTTGGCTCATCACCAGTGCGCACGGGAGCACATCCGTCCTCCATCCATCTAAGTGCCGACAGTCCTCTTTCACTTCCACCGTCTTCGTGATCCTCAGCGAATCCTTCGAATACTGTTTCCTCGTTATAAGCACAATTTCCCGCAATTTTCTATCTCTCGTCTGGGCTCCTGCAACCTTTTCGTCATTTGTTTCTGATTGTGCAGCCATTTATCTTCAACACTTTTACGATAGCAAGAACTAACACCATTTGGGCGGGATAAGTTGAATTCCGTTTATTTCGTGTATTCTCAGTCAACCGCATACAGACAATCATTGACATGAAAACGGCTTAATGAGAAACTGAGACATTCAAGGTTCTCGCCTATAATAACCTGACCTACACTTTGCCAGCACAAGGCGAGGCTGACCACAAAATCGAGCTGTTTGCAAAGGCTCGGCTTCATTCACCAGATAGTGGAAGCCTCTGCAAATCGGACGTCTCAGTTTCTCCGACTATTCCCGTTCAGCTTGTCGCTCAGGTCTAATTAGTTACCAATCCTCACTTTGTTTCCTCGTCATTAGACGTCAGCACAATTTAATGCACGTCCGTATGCACTGTCTGAGTCCCATACTCTCGTGTGGTCAGACGGCGGACGTCTTCATGCTCGCCCCCCTACAATAATCTATCCTGCTTGTACCGTTGATTCCGACTGATCTGTCTTGCGAGAACTCTGTTGCTGTGTTTTGGAGTATTCGCCGTATGTCTGGATTGCGACACGTACTGTAGCCATTCTAAGCTGGCTATCTTTACTTGACGAGTCTGAATCAGGACGAAACCGGTCTGTCGTGGAGTGCAGTTTTGGGAGATACTTTGCTTTCGATGTAGCAACCTCTAAATTGCGTGTTTTATATTTAAGAAATGACTGAATCACTAAGCAGCAATCTGTTAATCTAGAAGTAATTGCACAAAAGGTAACGATTTGATTCACCTTCGGGGGCACCGAGTTCCTGCCCACTATTGTCTACATATCAATGTAGATCCTGCTGGATGGCCACAAGTTTTTCAGCGCCTGTCTCATTTCGAGCACTTCAGTTATCCACTCTTCCAGTGTTTACTATGGATTTTTATCACGTTTAGTTTTCGGATATAAAAGTCATCGCCCTTGTTGCCCTATCACACTTTCTCTTCTTTTTGCTTCTCAGGTGAGTTTCCGCGAGTACCCGTGTAGAATTGTAGGTTTATGTTGGCTGATTGCCATAGTAGAGGCCGATTTGATCTGATATTGAAATAAGGAATGCGTGCGTTGCTTTGTCCCGCTACTGGTTCGGCGGCAGTGTTCCAAGATGTGGTGGGATTTCGTCTGGCAAGCGTTCTCCCTATAAAAACCACAGATATCCGTTTAACAACACTGTGACGTGGCGGATGTGACTCGCCACTAAATAAAGTCACTGCCTCTTCCCTTTTCCTGAGGATCATTCACACATCACGTACGTCACCCGATTCGAAGCTTTCCATTGATTTCCCCCTTTGATGGCGAACCCAGCGAACAAAAGCACACACAGAGTCACATTTACCTAATCACACAACATAGCTACTTCCAAATACAAACATGAACATACTTTTACATATCAACAGACACATACATTCCTATGCTATTTTTCAGAATATACTAATTTGTGTAATTGCCGATCATACATGTCTGTATTACCATGATCACGCCCTTGATGGTGTGCCTCGCAATGACGAGAATAAATTATTTCTTTATTTATCCTTGGCATTCCGGTTCCAGTCTGCGCCTATGAAACATGGGGCTTTATTTTATCCCGTCCGCATTGTTGAATGGACTCCGCAATCCTGCACCAACGATGATAACACTTGTTTAGTGCAGTGTTTGGAACACTGTGTGCTTCCAAGCATTTCGTTTCCACGTTCGTCCTACCATGTTTGCGTGTCTGTGGAACGCAAGCGCAATAATCACAGGTTCTCCACTCAGCAGGTTGCTGGTTCAATCCGAAATGTAGGAATGCTTATGCCCTGACCTGATTGCGAAGGCCGTCTTTCCGTTTATTCCCGCTCACCTTTTCGCCATCATCTTTCACCTTTTGTCCTGCTCGTGTTTCCTTGCCGATTGCAGCATTCCCCCTTACTACGTCCGCGTATGACGTGCCATTGAATTACTTACGCCATCCGGGTCACCTCGAAGCTGTTTCTCCCCAGCACTTCACTGTGGTATTGGTTGCTTCGCAGTCTGATTAAATGTATTGTGACATTCTTGAAGCTAATCGATAATTACTTCCACTCTCTCTTTATTGATTTATTCCACTGGTTCAGCGTTTACCTTATGGTCTTCGGGTAGCGTTAAGTTTCAAATCGTTCTTTCTTAAATCGTCTGGTCACATTTGTATGTGCGAATTTTCACGCGGACGTTTTCTTTCTCCCACATTAGTCAGATAGGTGCTGGTTGCCCCCCCCCCATCCCGGTAACAGCACAGAATAAAAGCTGGCAGCGATTTTACTCGATTTAGTTGATTGTACTTGTAGTTACCAATGCGCCGTTCATCTTTCTAATCTCGAATTCATCTTTCTTACAAACCACTACTAAGTTCAGCTACTAGGACTGTGTGACGATTCAGACGATCAGTCCTGGTCATCGCTTTCTTGATATCAAGTTGTGATTGCCGTGATGCCTACAGTCGAAATTCGATTCAGACCTTTTTGCGTACCTGAACTTGACAGTTCAAATCGGATAGACATCTAGTTCAGAGGCATTCCGCTTAGCTCCATCTTCATCGTCGCCATCCACCACTATACACACTGATGCCAGGGGGTTGTCTCATTTGGAACACTATTCCACGTCTAATTTTCGTCAGTTTTAGTGGATTGCAATTTTTAAGCTTCCGATGGTCACTCGACAACGTTTTATTTCCGCTTCTCTACCACTCTTCGTTGTTCCGGTCTAGCTCGACAGGTTCTGAACAAGGGTTATTTTTGTCGACTTTTGGTCCTGCACATTAGCCGGCCGCGTCACTCAATTCAATCCGTGCTTGGTGGCTAACTATACGTGGGTGTGTTCTCCGCTTTCGCCTTACTTTGATTTAAACGCCGCCATCTGCTCACATGGTGACTCAGCCTATGTGGCCTTGAAACATGCGGTGTCTAAATCTGTGCTCACCAACGCGTCACTCGGTCATCTAGCTTGCACTCTCCATCTGCTGGTCACGATTTCGGGGGCGAACTGGAGCACCAGCTACAATAGATCAATCGGTAGCGATTGTCTGTTTGCGCCTATTTCCTGGGGTTACTTTTTAGCGATAAACATGAATCCTTACTAGTGCTGTTTATCATCTATCTGACATGTAAACTTGAGGGCACCATCACCGTTTCATATGTTGACGAAGCTTAGTGTTTGTCAGTCTTCCACCAGTCTGCATGTTCGATTGACATAAACAAGTGCTTTTTATAAAATCCCTGGTGTGAAAACATTTAACTGATACTTAGAATATGAGCGTCCGTAGTTATCACACTTGATCTCATCCGAGTTGTTTCAACCCAACAACGGCGGTATATGATGGTTTCGATCTTTCTGAGATCAAAGTGACGGCTTTTGTTGGCTGCTTGGCAGTCTCGTGTTAGTCTTTTTATGTCACCTGCGTCCTTTTTGCTAGTGTTGCGCAACAGTATAAACTAGCCAACAACTAATCACGTGCTCTGTACTATACGCTCCACTATCTTGATACCGCGGGGTTTACTGCATACTTTCTTTATCTTGCGAGGCACTATGTGCCAACTGGTCCCTCACAAACTAGTGATGCTTCCCATTATTTTTTCTTATTTTGCATTTCAGTTCAGCATATGTTACTTTGGTATGCAAGGGTTTTATATCAAGTAAACACTGCTCCTTCCTTTTTTCACACTCTGATGTGCATATTCTTCGCTACCTTATGATTTCTGGCATCGGTTAGCCCTATCACTGTCTGATACATCTGACGGACACCAATGATTGCGTACCATCCGTGATTCATTCTAGGTGATCGACTTTCGATGGATTCACATTCCTCACCTTTGGGCGCATGGTTTCAGCCACGCGTTAGGTGGCTGAAATCCCGAAAATTTCCCAGTTGTCATCTTTGGCGCGTGTCCCGGCTAATTGTTTACGCGATGGAGATCTACGCATTCTCAACTACTTGTGGGCCATGCTTATTGATTTTCGGAACCCCGAAATTCCATGGGTGTGTTGTTGTCCTAACGCACTGACCCTGGGTGTGAATCACGCATAAAATATCCAACACCGGCTAAGCGCTATGTGGAGTTTGGGTTGCATGTGGTAGGGAATCGTAGGTCTCTCATCCCGCTCCGTATGTCATTGGAACATATGACCACTAACGATACCGGAGCGAAGGTGGTTATTGATTATGCTGAGGTATTTGTTGGAACTATTCCAATATTAACATATGCCGTTAGTTACAACTGGTCCACTCAACTTTCTGTCGCAATGATGAAAATATCTTGTTGGACACAATTCCGGGCGCCGAGGTTGCTCTTCCACTGGCTTTGAGGCTGACTAACCCCTGTGTAGTTCCTCTATAGCTGCTGATGTGCTCCATTTTTGTCTCGAATGATGTTGGTTCTTCTCTTGATCACAAAGCTTTGTACCGAATTGAACTACCCAGTCCAGTCGTCTCGCGCATGCACTTTGGTGAAGTTTTATACCTCGTTGAAGCCTTTTTATATGTGTTCTACTTGTTTCTTATGCTCATGATTATTTAATATAACAAAGTACTTTACAATCACGTTTTGTGGAAAACACTGCAGCCGAAGACATAGGAGAGAAAGAACAAGGAGCTTCTCACAATAGTAACCATTTGGTATGAAGACATCGAGATATTCACCTGTACGCTTTAGCTCAGTTTTGCCACTTTAAACCC